GGGTGCACAGAGGAGCGGGAGATGGCTCCAAAAGACACCCAAGGTCACCATATGACTTCATTATATTCATAGCAATAATTGGAGATACCATTTGCTGGGCTCTTGGATGTCCAACGTGTTGTGTGGACGTCCCCATTGAAACCTCACACAAACCCGCACGATGTGACTATCCTCAGCTGAGAAAGGCCAACCCTGAGGCCAGACACACTCAGCCCTTACCTGATGTCACGCTTGAGCCCCTCCCTTTTTTTTTCTTTTGTTTATTTGAGATGGAGTCTCGCTTTGTCACCGAGGCTGGAGTGCTGTGGAGCGAGCTCATCTCACTGCAACCTCCGCCTCCCGGGTTCAAGCCATTCTCCTGCCTCAGCCTCCCGGAGTAGCTGGGGCTACAGGCACGTGCCACCACACCCGGCTAATTATTTGGTACTTTTAGTAGGCGGGGGGAGTTTCACCGTTTTAGCCAGGTGGTCTCAATCCCCTGACCTCGTAATCCGCCCGCCTCAGCCTCCCAAAGTGCTGGGATTACAGGCGTGAGCCACGCACTCAGCCAAGCCCCTCGCTTGACATCTGAGAGACCCAAAGTCTGGACCGGGACTTGGTGTCTCCAGGTGGCAAGCTCTGTTTCTGGAGCCAGAGCTGGATGCTGCGACTGGCGAGAGGGCCCCGGACCCACAACCTTCAGTCCTCCCCCGGTATGTCTCTCCGGCTCCACAAGGTGGCAGTATTGCACCGTGGTAGACGCACCTGCCCCGACCTTGGAGAGTGCAGATCCCAGGTAAGAACCTGCCCGCTCAGTTTTCTGCAAAAAAAACCCGGGGCTTCTCTGCGACTCTTTCTTTAAATCTTTAAAGTGGAGGTGATAATAGGTCCTACCTCATAGGATGCTGAGGAGATTAAATGAGTTCACATTTATAAAGAGCCCAGAATAATGCCTGGCAAAAGATAAAGTATGTTATGAGAGTAGCTATGATGACGATGACGTTGACTGTCAGGATGATGGATGACTCACTTTGTTGTGTTGTTTGTGATTTGTGACTTTCTTTCCCTCTGATCTCTTTATATCCACGTCTCTGCGTCCATGCCTCCACTTTTTCCTCCGCTGAGGTCACAAACTCAGCTACCTCCTGGGGCCAGGCAGGAAGTATAAATGAGGGAAACTGACTGTGTGGGAGCCATGGAAAACCGCAGGGTGTCCCCGGGGTGGCCACTCAGCACCTGCTGATGCTGGATTATGGCCGCGTGGGAATGCAGGCGTGATGTTGACTGATAACCGTGGCCTTTTCAAGAGAAACTTAAAATCTCCTGACCTTTTAATGCTCCCGATCCATTCAAACAAGCCAACAAAGAAATCCACAATCTAAGAGACAGGCCAGATGTGTCTGCAGCCTGCATTTACTCAGGAGCGCCCTCTATGGGTGGCCCGGGTAGAGACCCTAAGGAATTGGAATGAATTTCACTCCATAACCAGAGGAGCCGGAAAGCAACACAGTCCTTTTATGAAACAGAAATAATAAGCCTGTCTCCTCTCCTTTCAGAAAGTAACCACAGCCGGCAGGGCATGGTGGCTCACGCCTGTAATCCTAGCACAAGGGCTGAAGGTAATCACAAAGATCACCTGATCACCCATAAGAGGGAGACAGAAGAGTCAGTCAGAGAAGGGGGGTGAGCACATGAAGCAGAGGTCAGGATGATGCGAAGATGGAGGAAGCAGCCACCAGCCAAGGCATGCAGGTGACATCTTAAAGCTGGAAACAGTGAAGAAACAGAGCCTCCTCTGAGGCATCCTGAAGGAATCAGCCTGACACTTTGACTTGAGCCCAGTGAGATTGGCTTTGGACTCATGACCTCTGGCATCCTAAGAGAATGTGTCTCTGTTTTCAGCCACTACGTTTGTGGTAATTACGACAGCAGCAACGGGAAATGAATACAGACTTATATACCTGACAACAAATAAAATCAGGGTAAACAGGAGGAGCCATTCTAGACAGGGGCCCAGGAGGGAATATTTAAAAAGAAACCTGGACCAGGTGCAGTGCCTCATGCCTGTAATCCCAGCATCTTGTGAGGCTGAGGCAGGCAGATCACTTGAGCCCACGAGCTCAAGACCAACCTGGGCAACTTGGGGGACCCTGTCTCAAAAAAAAAAAATAAAATAAAAAAGGAAAAAGAAACAGGTAAAATTAATCTTAGTAACTTCCTTAACTTGATATATTCACACTTGTCATTTCCACATGTAACCAATGTAAAAAAAATCAATTAAGAGAATTTATATTCTTTATTCCACACCAGATCTTCAAAATTCACTGTGTATTTTTACACTCACAGCACATCTCAATTTGGATGCTATGTTTTTTCAGAAATATTTGATCTGCACTCAGAGCCCAGAAAGTTGAAGAAGATGATTCGCACACCCAGGTTGTTCTAAACTCACTTAATTAAAACTCTTTCCCACCTGCATTCTGATCCAGGGAGCCACAGGGAGACAGACAAACAGAGACAGAGTTGAAAGACTAGACAATAAATAGTGCTGTGGGCGGTGGGAAATCAGAATCAAGGACACAGAAACAGGGGGACAGAGACCAACACAGAGACGAAAACAAAGACCAAGAGACATGAGAGAAGACAGGAGGAAAGCAGAGACAGAAAAAGAAGGACAGAGACCCAGGTGCCGAGCCACAGACAAAGAGACAGAGATGGGAGGAGAGAGAGACACACACAGAGACGGACAGAGACACAGGTGTGCAGCCACAGACAGAGAGACAGAGAAGGCAAGGAGAGACGGAGACAGGAGGAAAAAGAGACACACAGGGCCAGAGAGAGACAGAGATCAGAGGGACACACCTGTGTCTCTGAGGCAGAGTGAGAGAGACAGAGTCAGAGAGAGATAGAGATGGAAAAGAGAGAGAGAGAGACGCACCAGGGTTCCTGTCCTTCGTCCCCAGCCTATGTCCTGTCCTGCCCAGAGTTATTTGGGGGTGCACGGGCCCAGGGCAGAGTTGGGGGAGGGTCTCACTGGGGATGCTTCCAGTCTAGCAGGTGGGAGAAACAGAGACAAGGGAGAGAGAGAGAGAGACACAGATAGGGCCAGAGAGATAGGTAAAAAGAGAGCCAGAGCGCCAGGCATGGTGGCTCACACCAGTAATCCCAGCACTTTGGGAGGCCGAGGTGGGTGGATCACAAGGTCAAGAGATTGAGACCAGCCTGGCCAACATGGTGAAACCCCCGTCTCTACTAAAAATACAAAAAGTAGCCGGGCATGTTGGCAGACGCCTGTAGTCCCAGCTACTAGGGAGGCCGAGGCAGGAGAATTGCTTGAATTCGGGAGGCCGAGGTTGCAGTGAGCCGAGATCGCGCCACTGCACTCCAGCCTGGCTACAGAGCGGGACTCTATCGTCTCAAAAAAAAAAAAAAAAAAAAAAAGAGCCAGAGAGAGAGAGACAGAGACATGGGGTGTGGTGTGAGGGAGAGAAGGGAGGAAGGAGAAAGAATGTTAAAGAGACAGAGACAAGACCCCCAGGAGAGGCAGGGAGACAGGGACATTCATGCTTCATCGCTATCATCTGCCGGCACCACCCTCGCCCGCGCCGGCTCCGCGGTCTACACCCACCCACTCCTTGGGTGATTTCATCTGGCCTCGTGGCTGTAAACACCGCCTCTCCCCTGCTGAGTCCCACTGTTTCTTTCTCGCCGGTCCTGACCTTGACCTGCCCCTCCGTGCTCTACTGCACCTCACACGCACACCTGGGCTGGTGTCTCCACAAGATCCACAGAGGGGCCGGCAGCACGGGGGCTGAGACCAAGCCTCCACGCCATCCCTGGCCCCTCTGCTCCTGGCCCCCCACTTTGCATCCATCCGGCAGTAACTTGGCTCCACATGCAGAGGGGACCCCATGTCCGTTCACCTGTCTTCTCCCTTGACTCCGTCACCTCCCACCTGGGCTGTTGCCGCCGGCCCCCGCCCCACCCCCGCCGTCACTCTCCACGCTGGAAGTTTTTAAAAAGTAAGTAAGTTGACGTCACTCCATCCTCGTGCTTAAAATCCACTGCACTTAAGTTAAGCCCAAACTCCTTAACCCTGGTACGTAAACCCCTGGAGGCCTGCCCGCCCCACCCTCCTCTGCCCGGAGCCAAGTTCTCCCCTGCACCTGGCAACCTACCCCACTTCGGGGGCCTTCCTCCTCCTCCTCCCCACTTGGCTCTGGGCTTAAATGTTTCCCTTCTCTGAGACTCCCCGACCACCCCATTATATGCTGGTCCCTGCAGTTTTCCTTTATGGTCTGTGACCCCCAGTGGGACGTGATCCCCAGTGGCCCCAGCACCTGCGCAGAGCTCGGAGCGTGGTGGGCACTCAGCTGCTTCTCACCGAGCAAACTGTTTAGTTCTCCCACTCACTGGGAGCCTACGATGTGCCTGGTACCATGAGCCTTTCCCCGAATTACCTCTGAATTCACTTCGGAAACGAGGCGTAATGGTCACCCCAGTTCTATGGCTGGAAAAACTGAGGCTCACAGGAGTGCAGTGACTTGCCGAAGACTCCCAAAATACCGTGTGACGTAGGCTGGATGTGAACCCAGGGAAACTTGCTGGAGAAGCACAGCAAGAGGGTGATGAAGGAGGCGGGGAGAGAAAGAACACGCGAGAGAACAGGACGGAATGAGAGAAAATGAAAGAAAACATGAGAGAATGAGAGAAAGAACGAACAAGAGACAGAAAATGAGAGATACAGGCAAGAGAGGTATCTTGTGAGACAGTAAGAACATGAAAAGAGATAGAATGAGAGAGAGTATAAAAAAGGGAGGGAGTCTAGGATCTGGGCAGGGGTCTTCTCCCTGGGCCCCTGGCCCCAGCTGCCAGCCCCATGTGGGCCCCCAACCACTGCCTGGTCAGAGCTGAGACAGCCTGAGAGAGTTGAGCTGGAAGCTCCCAGCACCTGACCCCTGGAATGCATCCCCTGGGGGGCAGGTCAGCACAGGCTGAGGACGCTTATAAGCGCCACAGAGGCCCCTGCGGGAGGCGGCAGGCTGGAGCTCAGTCCAGCAGCAGAATCCAGGAGCCCAGAGGTGGCCAGGTAAGAGGCCTGGTGGTCCCCCGCTAAAAGCCTGCTGTCTTCAGGATCCAACTCCTACAGCCCCATGTCACTGGATTCTTAGCCTCTGGGCCTTCTGTCTCCACATCTCTCAAGATAGATCTCTCACTGTCTCTAGATAGGATATTCTCTCTCTCTCTCTCTCTCTCTCTCTCTCTCTCTCTCTCTCTGTCTCTCTCTCTCGGTCTCTCTCTCTCTCTCTCTCTCTCTCTCTCTCTCTCGGTCTCCCTCGGCCTCTCTCTCTCTCTGAACCTATGTCTCCATGTCTAATTCTCAGCTGTCTCTGAGGGTATCTCTCAAATGCTCTGTCTCTGGCTCCGATTGTCTCTGTCTTCCCTCCGTGCTTATTCATGGGTGGCTAGACACTATCTCTCCCCACTCATAGACGGCTAGATGCTTTCTCTAAACTTTCCTTTCTACCTAGTTCTCTCTCTCTTTTTTTCTCTCTGTCTCTAAATCTGTCTCTCTAAGAAAGGGAGGAAAAGAGGGAGGGAGAGACTTGCAGACCCCCAGACACAGCTGAGGCTCAGTCTTCATCCCCAGGTGCTGACGTGATGGCCACAGCAGGAAACCCCTGGGGCTGGTTCCTGGGGTACCTCATCCTTGGTGTCACAGGTATCTGAGTGTGCATGTGTGTGTGACTGTGCTTGGGGGCACAGTGCTTGTTAATGTTCAGGCGTGACTCAGTGTCCTGTTTGTGACTGCAAAGCTGCCTGTGAGACTGGTACCATGTGATCTGTCCCCCGTGGCTGTCCCCCTGCACCTCCTCGTATCACGGTGAATGTGTGTGTGGCACCGGGCCTGAGTGTATGGTTGTGCCTGTGAGATTCTGACAGTTTGTGCCTCTGACTATCTGGTGGAGTGACAATAGTGTAATGATGATGTGGGGACAGGGGAAGCCAAGGGTGCGGGAGATTGTGCTTCCTGGGGAGTGATCCCTTTCTGGGAATCTGTGGCTGCTTCCTGGGTCTTCAGTCCTGAGATCCCCCTCTCCCATCCCCAAGGAACTCACCTTAACAGAACTATATAATGGTGTTTTGGTGTGAATGGGCTTGTGGCTGGGTGTGACTGTGGGCAAGGCTGGGAAGGATAGGAGGACCGACTCTTTGAGCATCAGTCTGTGCAGACAAGTGACCCTGATCCTGGCTCCCAGCAACAGCTCCACCCCCTGAGCTTTAATCCACCCCAGAGGGACTTGATCCCACCTCTATGAGCCTAGACTCCTCTGTTGGAGCCCTGACCATGGTTTTGCACCGTGACGGCACTAGTCTCACCTCCAGAGCCAACCCCACAGCCCTGACTCTGCCCCAGGAGCCCTGGTCCCACCTTCTGAGACTTTTCTACCTATAACCCTGCTCTTGAAGTCTTGATCGTGCCCCTGCGCTGTAACCCCAACCCCAGGAGCACTGATCCCGCCTTCTCAGCCCACTCCCCTTGCCCTGACTCATCTCCCAGGAGCCCTGACTACCCTAAGTCCCTGACCAGGCTCCTGCACAGTCATCACCAACCCTGGGAGCCCTAGGCCTACCTCCTGGAGGGCCCCTGAAACTCCGACCACAACCACTGCACAATAACCCCACCCCCAAGAGCCTTGACTCTGCCCCCAGGAGTCCTGCTCCTGCAAGGCCTCACCACGCCCCTGCACCGTAACCCCACCCCCGAGCCCTGGGCCCGCCCCCATCCCTGACTCCACCCCCAGGAGTCCAGCTTGCTCCTGCAGCTCTGAGCACGCCCATGCGTCGTAACCCCACCCCTAGGAGCCCCGGGCCCGTCTCCTGGGCCCGCCCCCAGCCCTGACTCCGCCCCCAGGATCACGCGTCTCGGGTACCGGCAGCCAAATCATAAACGGCGAGGACTGCAGCCCGCACTCGCAGCCCTGGCAGGCAGCACTGGTCATGGAAAACGAATTGTTCTGCTCGGGTGTCCTGGTGCATCCGCAGTGGGTGCTGTCAGCCGCACACTGTTTCCAGAAGTGAGTGGAGTGGCCGGGTCCTGGGTCCGGGAGTGGGGCCTGGATGTCTCCTGGGCTGACGGCGGGAGCCTAAGATCAGGCTCATCCTGGGGTGCTCAGAGGGAAACAGCAGTGAAGGCTCTGGGAGGAGGACGGAATGAGCCTGGATCCGGGAGCCCAGAGTGAAGGGCTGGGAGGCGGGAGCCTTGCTTCGGAAGGACTCAGAGAAAACTGGGTTGAAACCCCAGCCAGGGCTGAGTCTCTAGTGAACTAAGGCAAGTTCTTGTCCCTTATTTTTTTGTGAATGAGGATTTGAGACCATGGTTAAGTAGCTCTTAGCAGGGTGTTTAGCAAAGAGGATGGAGTTGGGGTTAGGGAATGGGGATGGGAATGGCGTTGAAGATGAGACTAGAGAGAAGGATGTAGTTGCCACAAAATTGACCTGCCCTCCTTGGCCCAGCTCCTACACCATCGGGCTGGGCCTGCACAGTCTTGATGCCGATCAAGAGCCAGGCAGCCGGATGGTGGCGGCCAGCCTCTCCGTACAGCACCCAGAGTACAACAGACCCTTGCTGGCCAACGACCTCATGCTCATCAGACTGGATGAGGCCGTGTCTGAGTCTGACACCATCCGGAACATCAGCATTGCCTCCCAGTGCCCTACCATGGGGGACTCTTGCCTCGTTTCTGGCTGGGGTCTGCTGGCGAACGGTGAGCTCAGGGGTGTGTGTCTGCCCTCTTTGAGGGGTCCTCTGTCCAGTCGCGGGGGCTGACCCAGACCTCTGCATCCCAGGCGGAATGCCCACCGTGCTGCAGTGCGTGAACGTGTCGGTGGTGTCGGAGGAGGTCTGCAGTGAGCTCTATGACCCAGTGTACCACCCCAGCATGTTCTGCGCCGGTGGAGGGCAGGACCAGAAGGACTCCTGCAACGTGAGAGATGGGAAAGGGGAGGGCAGGCGACTCAGGGAAGGGTGGAGAAGAGGGGGACAGAGACACACAGGGCCGCGTGGTGAGATGCAGAGACAGAGACACACAGGGAGACAGTGACAACTGGCAGGAGAGACTGGGCGGAGTCGGGGCTGGGGGCGGGCCCAGGAGACGGGCCCAGGGCTCCTGGGGGTGGGGTTACGACGCAGAGAAATAGACATAGGAGTAAAGAGAAGCAAAGGAAGATAGAAACAGAAATAAAGAGAGACACCGGGAGGCAGAAACACACACACACACACACACACACACACACACACACACACAAAATGCGGTTGACAACAGAAGAACAGCAGCATGGGGGCACTGTCCTCCATCCAACAGAAAATCCTAGTATAATATTTGACTCCCCAAAAAACTACAAATAGCCTACTGTTGATGGGAGAGCCTTACCAATAACATAAATAGTCAATGTATGCATACATTTTATGCATTCATGATATAACTTTGTTGGAATTTTTTGATATTTCTAAGCTAAGCAGTTCATCTGCAAATTTTTTTAAATTGTTGCAACTCTCCAAAATTTTTTTTTTTTTTTTTTTTTTTTTTGTTGTTGATAACGGAGTTTCGCTCTTGTTACCCAGGCTGGAGTGCAATGGCACGATCTCGGCTCACCGCAACCTCCACCTCCTGGGTTCAGGCAATTCTCCTGCCTCAGCTTCCTGAGTAGCTGGGATTACAGGCACGCGCCACCATGCCCAGCTAATTTTTTGTATTTTTCGTAGAGACGGGGTTTCACCATGTTGACCAGGATGGTCTCGATCTCTCAACCTTGTGATCCACCCGCCTCGGCCTCCCAAAGTGCTGGGATTATAGGCTTGAGCCACCGTGCCCGGCCCCAAAATTTTTTCTAATATATTTATTGAAAAAAATCCAAGTATAAGTGGACTTGTACAGTTCAAAACAAGGTTGTTCCAGGGTCAACTGTGTACTTAGAGGGAAACAGTGACACATATTTGGAGAGATGAAACATGAAGATAAATAGGAAAAACCAAGACTCTACAAACGGGTTGGGCGTGGTGGCTCATGCTGGGATTACAATCCCGGCCGGGTACGGTGGCTCAAGCCTGTAATCCCAGCACTTTGGGAGGCCGAGGCAGGTGGATCACGAGGTCAAGAGATCGAGACCATCCTGGTCAACATGGTGAAACCCGGTCTCTACTAAAAATACAAAAAAATTAGCTGGGCATGGTGGCGTGTGCCTGTAATCCCAGCTACTCAGGAGGCTGAGCCAGGAGAATTGCCTGACCCCAGGAGGCGGGGGTTGCGGTGAGCCAAGATCGCGCCATTGCACTCCAGCCTGGGTAACAAGAGTGATACTCCATCTCAAAAAAATAAAAAATAAAAAATAATACAATCCCAGCACTTTGGGAGACAGAGGCAGGCCGATCACTTGAGGTAAGCAGTTTGAGCCTGGCCAACATGGTGAAATCCCATCTCTAATAAAAATACAAAAGTTAGCCGAGTGTGGTGGTGGGCGCCTGTAATCTCAGCTATTTGGGAGGCTGAGGCAGGAGAATTGCTTGAACCTGGAAGGCAGAGGTTGCAGTGAGTCGAGATTGCACCACTTTACCCAGCCTGGGCACCAGAGTGGCACTCTTTCTCAAAAAAAAAAAAAAAAAAAAAAAAGACTTTACAAAGAGATGCAGAGACAGTGAGACAGAGAAACAAGCCATGAAGGAGACAGAGAAGGCAAGACAGACAAACAACAAGCCCAAGAGAAGCAGCCAGCATTCAGGATGCAGGGCATGAGGGAGCAGGGTTAGGTGGCGTCAGGGATCTGGAATGGGACTTCCAAGAGATACGCTGCTGGGCTGTGTTGTTATTGTTGATGTTTCTGTCTTTGTTTCTCAGTCTCATTTAGTTTCTGTCTGATCCCATATCCATTTCCACCCCTCTGTGTTTCAGATTCTGACTCTCTCTCTCTCTTCACAACAGGGTGACTCTGGGGGACCCCTGATCTGCAAAGGGTCCTTGCAGGGCCTTGTGTCTTTTGGACAAGCCCAGTGTGGCCAAGTTGGCATGCCGGGCGTCTACACCAACCTCTGCAAATTCACTGAGTGGATACAGAAAACCATCGAGGCCAGTTAACTATAGGGACTGGGGCCCATGAAATTGACCCCCAAATACATCCTGCAGAAGGAATTCAGGAATCTGGGTTCCCAGCCCCTCCTCCGTCAGACACAGGAGTCCAGGCCCCCAGCCCCTCCTCCCTCAGACCCAGGATTCCAGGCCCCAAGTCCCTCCTCCCTCAGACCTAGCAGTCCAATGCCACCTAGACTCTTCCTGTACACAGTGCCACCTGTGGCACGACACTGACCCAACCTTACCAGTACTAAAGTTGCATTTTCACATATTTTGTCCCTTTCCCCTAGATCCAGAAATAAAGTCTAAGAGAAGTGCAGATTCTGTTTCTAGTATCCTCCTTGCTTCTCCTTCCATTCAAGAGATTCTAGCAAATGGCTTTCCCTTCATAGGTCTCAGTTTCCCTATCTGAGAAATGGGAGCTTTGGCCAGGAGGCCACAGGGTTTCGGGTTTCAGAGGGAGCGGCCATTCCCTGGGTAGTTAAGAGAAACCAGCCATGGATGTTGTCCAGTTTCTGAAAAGTCAAGTCAGCAAATGGTAACCAGAGATTTTCTTGCTGAGTTTAACTATTCAGCTTTAGTTGATACCTATTTATTTTTGTCCTCTAACTGCATTTCAAGAAATTTTAATTTGCATCTGTCTCAGGACTCGGCTGCTGTAGCTGGAGTCGGGTGGAAGGAATAGTGGAGCAGCCTACTGTGAGTGAGAGCTACAGAGACCAAGGAGCAGAGACAGGGGAGGCTGAGGGACAGAATGGGGCAACCGGGGGGCAAGGAGATGGGAGACTGAATAAGTATACAGATAATTTGAACAATACGATTAACACACTCTACTTAACGCTCATATATGGAATGTTGCACCCAGTACCTGAAAAATGTAGAATAACTTCAAAAGACATACAACTACCAGAATGGCTAAAATTGAAAAGAATGACAGTACGAAGTCTCGGTTATATCTAGAGCAACTGTAACTCTCCTACATTGCTGGGGGTCGGGGGTGGGGGATCAAATGGTACAACCATCAGGAGACTGAGGCAGCAGAATTGCTGGAGCCCAGGAATTCTTGCTATGAAGTAAGCTATGATCACACCAGCCTGGGTGACAGAGCAAGACCCTGCCTCTAAAAGAAAAAACATTCATAGGACCTCAGGGGATGAATGGACAGTATATATGACCTTAGCGAATGGATGGGCAGGTCATTTTACTCATCCCAGGTTTCCTTGTATAGACATGAACTTGATTACCAATTTTGCCTCAGATGGTTCTACAAGCAGCCTCGCGAGGTTGCCTATAAGAACAAAATGGTGATACTTGGGCCCCTGTAGCACTCCTTGCTCTGAAGAAAAGACAGACAGTTCAGATAAACTCCCTAGGATAATGCCAGACCTCAATTAGTTGGATAGAAACATGTCCCGTCGCAGGGAGCAGGCCCCAAGGTAGAAAGGGAAGACCTCTCTCTCTGTGTTAGATGGACAAAGAGTCCAAACAGCTTTTCAAGATTATCCAGATAATGTTTTATAAAGGTGAGGTAGGAGATCAGCAGGACTTGTTTTCTGGTCACAACTGTGCTGACCAAAACAAGTCCAGACATGATAAAATAAAATAAAAACAGCAGGAATGACCAGATGAAGAAAAAAGTGATCCCTGTCTGCCCTCACTGCTCACTGGTATAGAAGACTCTCACCAGTGCCATGACAGTTTATAAATGCCATGGGAGTGACCCAGAAGTTACCTCCATTTCCATGGCAATGACCCAGAAGTTACTGCTCTTTTCCTAGAAAGTTCTTGATAAACGACCCCTCAATTTGCATTGACCCATTACTTAATTTGCATGTAACTGAAGGTGGGTTTACACGAGTATAAATATAGTTGCCAAGAGCCCATAGGTTGCTGACTCTTGAGCACACTGCCTACGATGTAGCCCTGTTTCTCAAGGAGCAGTACCATTCAAGGAAGATTGCTGTCTCACACCACCAGCTCACCCTTGAATCCTTTCCTGGGTGAAGCCAAGAACCCTCCCAAGCTAAGCCCCAATTTCAGAGCTAACCTGTCCTGCAATGAAGTGGCAGTCTCTTGTGATCCACATGCGCAGAATCTTAAACTCCAAAATGAATACCTCAGTCACCAAATTCAGATTCTAGACTTTGAGCTTCATCTTCCTAGAGATCAGACTGGTGGTCCAAGCTCCAGACATCAGACCAGTCTTTGGACTCTAGAACCAAGACTTCCCATTTCTGGATTCCATGTGCCAGGTTCCAGTTCGATCCGAAGTAAACAAATTACCCCTGAGGGCCAAATTCAGCTGCTGTGTGTTTTCGTAAATAACATTGTGTTGGCTCATAGTCAGAATAATTCCTTCGTGTGTTGTCTATGACTGTTTTTATGCTGGTACAGCAGAAATGAGCAATGATAGTGAAGACTGCCTGGCCCACAAAGCCTAACATAATTACTTTCTGGACCTTTGCAGAAATAGTTTGCTCATGTCTGGTCTAGATATCATATGCTTCACTCAAACCCCAAAATCCCAGAATTCAGATCCCAGGCTCTAGATTACACAGCACCAACTGGAGATTGTGAAGGCTGAGTCCAGACCTCAGACCCAGGCTCCAAACTCTATTTCTCTGCTCTCGATTCCCAACTCCAGACCCCTGACAAGACCCTCACCGCCCTCCAGAGATCCAGCAATCTCTCCAATGAGAAATCCACTGAAAGAAACAGAAAAGAATGATGGAGAGAGTGTCAGCCACAGAGAGACAGATAGAAAGTGAGAGAGTGTGAGTGTGTTAATTGTCTGTCTCAAAGACAGACAGAAACAGGCAGACAGGCAGTATCCTGACCAAGAAGCTCAATTGAGAAATACAGTGATAGAAAGAGTCTGTGGCCCTTCGCTCATTCTCATTTATTCAGTAAGTTCCTTTCAGTTACCTACTATGTGCTAGGTGCTGTTTTAGGGGCTTTGGATAAACCAGTGAACAAAACTGGGAAATACCCTTGTCCTGGTTGTAGCTGAGAGATACAAACAATAGAAAATAAATCCAATAAAATAAATGACAAATTAGATATACATTTATACATGTTAATGTAATATTGTATATTCACACAAATCATATATAATAAGTTAAATAAAAGGAAGATCAGGGAGAGGGAAATTTGCAGTGTTAAAAAAGGAAAGGATGTTCCATAAACTGGTGAGTGGGCAAATAAACGGTGGTGCATCCATACAATGGAATCCTATTCAGCAGTAAAAATGGAACAAACCGCTGATAGCTGTGTGACCTTTGACAAGTTACTTAACCTCTCTGTTACTTAACTCTGTGAAATGGGGCTAATAATAAAATCTTCCAGGTGAGGTTGCTATTAAAGTGAGTTACTGCCTTAGCCTGCTGAATAGCTGGGATTACAGGTGCCCGCCACCATGCCCAGCTAATTTTTGTGTGCTTTTTTTTTTTTTTTTTTTTTTTTTTTTTTTTTTTTTTTTAGTGGAGACGGACTTTCTCCATGTTGGCCAGGCTGGTCTCAAACTCCTGACCTCGGCTTCCTAAAGTGCTGGAATTACAGGTGTGAGCCACCGCACCGGGCCTGTTTCTGGATTATTATATCACTCTAATTTACCATGTGACTGAATCTCTGTGCTTGTACCTATTTGGTTCAGTCTCATGTGCTGTGGGTGTCATTTTGTGAGCACCTTGTGTGAGTCACCCTGCAGCTTTGCAAAAGTGTGTGTAGCTGAGTGTAATGTCACATGGGAGGTTGTGCCCCTGTGCCTGTCACCTGTCCTGCGTCCCTGAGCCGGACTCCAGGGTTCTGACATGTGGCTGTGTGTTGAGTCATGCCCTGCCCACTGGTGCCTTGGGAGGCTGTGTGGGACAGCGGTTGAGGAGATAGGCCGTGGAGCTGCCCTGCCCGGGTTCAAAGCCCTGCCCTGCCATTTCTTACCTGGGAGACTCTGGGCAACTTCTCTAACTTCTCTGTGCCTCAGTTTTCCCATTTCAGAATGAAGATCATGTTCCTACCCACTTTAAGTGGTAACCTGAGTGTGGATAAATATTACAAATACTCTTCACCCGAAATGGTCATCTTAACGTGGGTTACATAATACATGCCTGTCAGCACCAGAATGCCTGGTCCACAGGTGATTGCGAAACCATGAGCTGTAATTATCACTGATATCAGTATGTCTCAGCCAGTGTGCTCCCTGCTGGCACAGAGGGTTTGGAGGTTTGGAGGATGAAGGGCAGGTACAAGGGCCTCAGCTGCATAGCCATTTCTTTTCTTTTTCTTTTTTTTTTTTTGAGACGGAGTTTCACTCTTGTCGCCCAGGCTGGTGTGCAATGGCGCAATCTCAGCTCACCACAGACTAGGCTCGGTGGCTCACTCCTGTAACCCCAGCACTTTGGGAGGCCAAGGAGGGCGGATCACCTGAGGTCAGGAGTTTGAGACCAGCCGGGCCAACATGGTGAAACCCCCGTCTTCACCGAAAATACAAAAATCAGCCAGGCGTGGTGGTGGGCACCTGTAATCCTAGCTGCTCTGGAGGCTGAGGCAGGAGAATTGCTTGAACCTGGGAGGCAGAGGTTGCAGTGAGCTGAGATCGCGCGTCACTGTACTTTAGTCTGGACGACAAGAGCAAGACTCAGAAAAAAGAAAGAGAGAAAGAAAGAATAGAAGAAGGGAGGGAGGAAAAGAGGGAGAGAGGGAGGGAGGGGAGGGAAGAAGGAAAGAAGGAAGGGAGGAAGGGAGGGAGGGAGGGAGGGAGGGAGGGAGGGAGGGACCGAAGGAGGGACCAAGAGAGGGAAAAGAAAAGAGACGGGGACTGTGTGCAGAAAACCAGGAGATCCGCAGTCAAGAAGCATCAGAGAAACAAAAAGGTCAAAACAAAAGGTCAAAAAAGGCCATGAAGCATCTTCCAGTTCTCCTGGGATGCGTGTTCTGGAGGAAGGCAGCCATCACGCAGGCACTCTGATTCCCCAGAGGCCGCCATGCTGAGAGGCTGCCCGGAGGCACTGGGTGCAGTCCCAGCCTAGTTCAGCGTTTCAGTCACTCCAACCCAGGTGCCTGACATGTGAATGAAGGGGCTCCAGATGACTCCAGTACCCAGTCTTCTAGTCACCCCCAAACCTTTGAGGTTTTGGTGGCAGAGACAAGCATCTCCTCTTTCTTTGGGTCTCCCTGCATTTTTCTGTGCCTTATCCTAATTCCCAACCCACAGAATCCATAAGTGTAATAAAATGATTGTTTTACATACTATGATTAGGGTGGTCATTCACAATTATGCTATATGTATGCTACATATATATTCACAATTATGCTATA